ACCGGACCTGAAGCAAGCGTGTTTCCTCCTGCACCTGGAGAGGCGACTCAGCTGATCACTCTCGGTCTTCGCGCCGTTAATGGCACACTCATTCCTACCTATGCCCAACGCTCCTTAGCCATTAATTTAGGTCTCCGTGGTACATTTCACTGGGTGTTCATTATTGCCACCGTCTCGTTTACTATCATCGGCATAGACTTCCTCAAACATTTCAACCTCTTGGTCGATGCGAAACAAATGTGAATAGTCGACCCCGCAATGACGCTCAGTGTCCCGGGCGCCAACAGCGGCATTTCAGCTATCATACCAGTCTATCTTTTCCCACAGACTCCTCTTGACTACGCCGAACTTTTCTCTCATTACCCCAAACTCGTTCAGGCAATGAACGCAGCTCTGCCATGGCATCTCAAGCCACACATCATATCCGGACTAACGGCCCACCCACTTCATCACACCTGCGCCGACTTTTGCCGTAGAAACTGAAGATAGCTAAGGTGGAGTTCGAGTACTTGCTCGAACTTGGAATAATTCGTCCTTCAGCTAGTTGTTCGTCCTCTGTACTCCAGATGGTCCCCAAGAAATATAGAGACTACCGGGCACTAAACAAACTTACGGTCCCTGATAGGTACCCAACCACAAATGCAGTACCTCACTGCATGACACACAAGTAAGATGGTCTTCAGCAAGCCACTACAAGTACGGTTAAGACCATTCCTTCAATTAATACAGACCTCAGCTACAGATGAGCTAGCCTCAATTGTACCTATCTCAAATCGGCCAACCGTGCAAACAACCGTTTCAAAAAACTCCAGCAGACCGGCACTATTTGTGCCGGTCACTCACAGCGAACCGAGCTCCTGATGCGTCAACAAATACAATGCTGCTACAACAACACTCAGGGGTTGCATTCTAACCTCTCGGAACTTCGCCATTGACATGAAAAAACAACATGGGACCTCATAGCAGTTACTGAAACTTGGCTCTCAAACGACATACTTGATCCAGAGATTGCACTCAGTGAGATGTCAGTCATTCGAAATGATCGTCCATCTCGCGGTGGCGGTGTTGCTCTCTACTATCGAGATTGTTTGAAATGTGAGGCCCTTACCGAAAATTCCCTTGTTAATCCCGACGCACTATTTTGTCCACTGCATCTAGCAGGTCGAGATGTGGGTTCACAGAAGACGAGTGATGCTTGCCTCTTAGCAGTTATCTCTAGGCCTCCGAACTCATCAGCAGACCGCGAGAACATTCTGTTGAAAACCCTCCGCTATGCGGTTTCACAAAAGTACTCTCACTATCTTATAATGGATGATTTTATTGCTCCTTCAATAGCGTCAATGTTCCCTAATGGGTCTTCGTTTAAATCATGGTCATGGGATACCTGGAAAGTAACAAAATCCTCGTTCCGGAGCAGCACGGTTTTCGCTAAAATCGGTCCTGCACCAATTATCTGTTGATAGCTCATGCAAGCTGCTCGGAATCTGTGGACGCTGATGTAGGAGCAAACTCAGCCTACCTGGATGTCTCAAAGTCACTCGACCTCCTGGGTCGTCTCGTTCTACTGCACAAACTTCAGAGTTATGGTATCGGTGATCCCGTTCTAAGATGTATAGGCTATTTTCTCGTCAAACGTTACTTGAATGTGATGGTCCGCATTACCCTGTCGGAGCCAAACGAAGTTCAATGCAGCAAACCTCCGGGCTCGGCACTCAGGCCTTGCCTATGCCTGATCTTCATAAATGATCTCACAAGCTTGCTGTCTTCAAACTGTCTACCATTTGCTGATGATCTAAACATATGGCGTGTTATCGCTTCCTTGGAGGATCACACAGCCCTGCAGGGTGACCTGGACAAACAGCACTATGGTCCATCGAGAACATGTTGCAGTTCAACGCCATCAAGTGCAAAATTCCGAGCATACGCCCACTCACAGCTACGGCCTAGGACGACAGGTCCTACAGCGGGCTTCTCATGAGTGCAATCTTGCCGGGCTTGTCCAAGAGGATCTTGGGTGTTTGGCGCAGGCTGATAAGGCATCAACGAAATTAAACCAACACTTCGGCCTTCTTCGTAGAGCGTTCAGGCAGTTTGATGCCCCAGTCTTTCCTAACATTCTTGGTGCGTACGTGAGGCCGCACGCGGAATACGCTATCCAAGCATGACATCCCTATCCGAAACACCACCTCACCGCGCTTGGTACTGCACAGCGCAGGACCACAAAGAACCTCAAATGTTTGTCCCGTCTTCCCCCACACTTAGACTGAAAAATCTCAAAAGGCACAGCGGCCGTTCTCAATGTCCACGGAGAGAACTCATTATGGTGTATCAGATCCTGAGAAATCCAAACCACACTTGACACTCTTTTGTAACTCAGTCAAAACACATCTCCAATGGGTCATCAGTTTAAGTCTGTCACGCAGTACTGCCGACTGGAATATCAACGCAACCTTTTCTCCTTCCAAGTGTCACAGTCCTGGAACGCTCTTCCGTCGCATGGAACAAATGCCCCCACCTTATCCCTTTACAAAAAAAATCGCCCTGCCGATACCCCTACACATTTACACTACGTGCTATAGCCCGTGACCATCAGTGCAAAACACAGTGGACGACATCATAACTATCCTAAAGTCCAGGCAGGAATACTCGCATTTATGCTACTCCGAACCCTTTGGTGAGTCATGTATCAGACACGATCTACTGATACCGTTATTTTGTATGTTTTTAATTTTCACCCTATCCAGCTTACAGAACATGTCAAGCATTCGCTTTATACCCGTCATAAACCATTGCTCCATAGCTCCATTGAGTCTATTCTTGAAGGGGCGAGTCTACAAGGCCACGGTGAAAGCCGATCTACTCTACGGTTGCCAGACTTGGCCTGTCCGTGCAAAAATGGGCTGTCTGTCTTTGATCATCGTTGCCTCCGGAGCATTGCTGCTGTATGGTAGCAACACCACATTAATAATGAGGCCGCTCGCCGAATGACTTTTAGATCTGACGGACTTTGCTGGTCTTTGAGCCCCATAAGTTCACTGCACAGGCTTCGGTGATTTAGGCAGCAGCTTCGCATACCTACCGAGCGTTTGCATCACCGTGCACTTTGCGCGCACAGACCTCGGCCGGAAGCGTAGCAAGGTGGTCAGCGAATGATATGGGCCAAAAGAAGGAGGATGTTAACCTCATATTTGGCCGCGGTCAGGCGCTTTCCACTCCCTGGTTGTGGTCGCAATAATCACGAGCACACAGGTCTGGAAGCCTAGTCACCCATGTCAAGAAACCGTGAGCAATGACGAACCAGTTGTGAGAGTCTAGCACCATAACTGCTGTTCTACACTTCTTAATTTAACCCCCCCCCCTAATCATTCATTATGGTTATATTACCTTTATCCGTACGTTGTCGCACTCTACCATCTGTACTGTTGGTCAAATCAATATATATATATATATATATATATATATTGCGCTTGAGGTGCATGTTGACAAGGTGTCTACCTGTCTATTACCCACTACCTCGTCCATACTAGCTCCAGGAGACAGTTGGTCGTTGCTGGAGGGGACGGGGTGCACGATTCTTGTGGCCGTGTTAGGATCAAAGAGTGGTTCCATGCACTCAGTGTGGAGCGGATTACGGTCCAGCCACCGCCTTGTGTGTGCTTGATTCCCCAAATACAGTGTGCTTGTGTTTGCCTGTGAAGGAGTGTGGGCCGGCTCCGTTGATGAAACGTGGCTCCCATCCACATGCCTCTCGGTCTTATTCCTTCGGGTTTACACTGGAAATGGGGTGTGTGGTTGGAGCTGTGGTGCAGCGCAAGCCATCCATGGTCCCTCTGTAGGCGCAGACGGCTTTTCTCAATGGTAGTCTGACTCGTAGTCACCACCATTTTCACAGTCTTAATGTGCAACCGTAGAAGGAGTGGGATCAAGCACGCTCGATGGTCTATCCATTTAGGGGAGTAAGGTGTACCAGGGGCTCGGGAGAGAGAAGCTGGAGCGCCTAAAACTGAGCTCTTTGTGGCTGGTTGATCTAAAGGCATTATCGTTCACTTCCAAGAGTATAATCACCAGGTTCACCAAATGCTTGATTACCTCTGTTTAAGTTCTTCAAGTGCACAAGTAGAAATTTGACAAAGTCGGGCAAAACTGTAAGGCATCAGTTACTTTGTTTTCTAGCTCCACTTCTTGTGTCGACTTTCTCACACATGTAAACTGGAAGGCCATACCGCAGTTTGAACACGTTACCGCATCTTAAAACCCTGTCACATTTTTTCTAAAGAGCACACGCCGTCACGTTGAAGTATGTCTGTGCTACTGGCAGGTACTTTCTAACCACGTGTCCATTATGAGCGTCACTTCAACTTACGGGGCCAACACTGATTCTACGCTCTTTGGTGAAGCCAATGGAGTTGGACATGAAGCACATTTTCTTATTCAGCAAAACCTTCAACTACTGTGTTTGGAAGAATTCCATAGAATCATGCTGCTTTTGTAACTAGGAGGTTGTATGAATCCTAAAGACTGTGCGAGTAGGGGCTTACTGACTTAACCAACATGCATAGTTACCTATTTCAGGATGCAGAGTATACGGAGTCCTGGTGCTTACACTCGTTCTGTTGGTTCTGCAAAGGTCACCTTATAACGGTTGATATCTTAGCCGAAATAGCTGAGCTTCACTTGTGTGGTGCTCGTGTCCTTGTAGCCGAAATTTCTTCATTAATGCAAAAGTGACCCGGTTTGCATGTATTCGACTCCACTAGAACTACCTTCTGGGCTTCAAATGGTGTCATCTTTATGCTAACGGAGAGCGCAGCTCACTGATTGAGCAAGATTTCAACCGCATATCCTATTCCTTGTACACTGCCATTGCCAGTCCGTTGTAAGCTCCAAGATTTTATCTTCGGCATCCATTGCACAGCCACAAACATCGGATCCTCGTTAACTCAAGCTACGATTTATCATCTAACATGATCATTTTGCTCATAAACGGGCCGGAAACTCACTGATTGTGGTTGTTCCTCCAAGGACAGCCTCTCTGGTTGTGTTTGAGTAATCATTCGGTTCGAAGCCAAACGCATCGTTTAGAATGTAGGTGGATATGTCCACTCCTCCTGGCATGATCAAGAACCCTGTGGCATCGATAGTTGGCGTGCTCTTTGGCACGTCCATTCGCTTCCCAACAGCGCTGATTGCATATCACACGAAATAGATTACAGTACTTACATCACCTTGCCATTTTCAATAAGCAAGTTGGCTTGTTGTATGCAATCACAATTGACAATTTCTCCTCCAACAATGTGCAAATACCGATTCTGAAATGTAGACAGGGAAGAAAGCGTATAAAAATACATGCAGTTGGGAGTGCAAGTGACGATGGGTTTCATCGAAAGCAGGAAACATGGTATTGAACGACGAAACAATGGGGTGTTAAGTGTAAAGAAGTATCTGTTGGATGGGTTCCGTGGGATGACCAAAAAGAGGACCACAAACTGGAGAAAATAGAAGATGGTGTGAAGCGAAAAGCGCTTTGATGGACTCACCACACTATTCACATTTATGCATGTGCAAATGAACCCACCTCGATTATGTAGAATAATGCTGGTTGGCTCAAATTGTCCCATTATGCCATCTTTTAAGATACACGGACATTGTTCCGTAATGTAGGTGGGTTATGGAAAGGTGAATTCGTTTTTTCAACACAGATAACGTAGGTACGGAAAGGTTGTAAGTAAGGAAGGCGTCCCAAGGTTGGCACACACGAAGACTAAAACACTTTTTCTGTACTGCTGCGTTGCTTTGCCTGTGCGACTGCGACCGTCTGTCTGCTCAACCACGCGCCAAACCAACCGAAGGAAACCAGAAACTCAAGGCTCGGCAGACAGGGTATGTTCTACAGACTAGGTTGTCTAATTAGTAATGAAGCATACATGGTTGGCGGCGTCCGGTTTCGGATTTGCTTGTCACTGTGGCCAGCCACAGGACGCCTGCGCCTACAGAGGGACCATGGGTGGCTTGCGCTGCACCACCCACAACTCCAACCACACACCCCATATCCAGTGTAAACCCGAAGGAATAAGACCGGGAGGCATGTGGATGGGAGCCACGTTTCATCAACGGAGCCGGCTCACACTCCTTCACAGGCAAACACAAGCACACTGTATTTGGGGAATCAAGCGCACACAAGGCGGTGGCTGGACCGTTATCCGCTCCACACTGAGTGCATGGAACCACTCTGCGAGCCTAGCACGGCCGCAAGGACCGTGCACCCCGTCCCCTCCAGCAACGACCAACTGTCTCCTGGAGCTAGTATGGACGAGGTAGTGGGTAATCGACAGGTAGGCGTCTTGTCAACATGCACATCAAGGGCAGCCACACCGGGGATAGCACGCAACAGCCAATCACTTGAAACGACAAAATGAAATAAAATAAATCCAATAATACATACAGATACGGTGGCATAACTCTTCGCTAATTTAGCATATGAAGTAAGTTGGTTAGCAATGAATCCGCGATAAGGAAACTATGTCCACAAGTTACTCAAAAATGCTACAAACGCAACAAAATTACCGAAGATAAGCGCAATTAGCGTAAGCAACGTGGCCAGCTAATAGAAGACTATTCAGATAGGCGAAACTAACTAAATAAAGTGGGATGGAATTTAGCCACCTTAAAACGACCTAGTTTAAGTGTAAGTTGGTTTAGCCCAATTGCGGTGAAGGAGCATCAAGAATGCAACATCAGCCTCAGCATACATACTAGGTTTAGAAAGCATGGTCACCCAATCTTTGGTGTCTGGCCCTCAGCCAATGTGAGCGAGTTCCGTTCCACTGGTTTGCCACATTTTGCAGGATCGTCCGCCTCCGTTTTCTGGTCCGCTCAACCCCGGACGCCGGCTTGTATTTGCTGGCCATAAAATTCTCGCCTGATTCCCAAATTTGGCAGAATAGGCGAATGCGGTTCCTCGCCGGTGCACTTGGCCTCCAGACGCAGCTGACTGATCACGTGCTCCCCGGCAATTTGACGCGCACCTAACCACCGCGCGAAATTGCCGCATTGGCTCAGCTAGAGTCTATCAACTTTAGGCGAAGTTCTAACCGGCTGTATTGCGTGAGCAACTTCAACTATTGGTCTCTCAGTTTGTACCTAAACTGCAGGTGGCAGTAAACGTGGCTAGGGTCACTCAGAGTCCGACAGGTCATTATTAGGCCTTCTCGTAATCGTCGACATCGACTGCTATACGATCAAGGTTCTCAGCCTAAGTTGAAATGGAAGGTGGGAGGATCCCTTGGAGTGTATGGTGAGTGTTCGTTGTGCGTTCTTGAGCGCCGCGATATGTTGCTTGTGTCAGGGCTTCCAGGCATGTGTAGCATATTCCACATGAGGCCTCACGTATGTGTTAAGCGTATGCGGGTAGACGGATGAATCAAACCGCCCGAGTGCACTCGGCAGAAGACCCACGTGTTGGTTTCCACTCTTTGACGATTTCCCACATTGTACTGAACATCCCAAATCAGCCTTAATTAGTACCCTAAAGTCCATTTGTTGGGTACTTGATTGCAGGACATGGTTTCCAAGCTGTTATATGATCTTCGGCTGATGACGAATATGGACCACCTTACACTCAGACGAATTATAATGGAACAGATTGTGGAATGGCCATATGTACGTCCTGTCTAGGTCTCTTTCAAGTGTATCGTGATCTCCGTGGTCGGCAATAGTCAACCACATCTTAACATCATCAGCAAAAGTACAGAAATCCGATGCGATTAGACGGGTGAGCTCGTTAATGAACACGAGGACCAGATGTGGCCCTAGAACTGATCACCGTGGAAATCTACATTTGACATGCATTGGATCGGACAGCTTGCTTCGAACTCAAACTTCTGGTTTCCGATGTTGCAGAAACTTCTTGATCCACTCAGGGACAGGATCCCCAAATCCAGAAATTTCCAGTTTGTGAACCAGGATGCAGCGGTCCAAACGGTCGAAAACTGGAGAAGTCTAGTTAAATGACATCTATTATTGTCCCTGCGTATGGCCGCTCCCACCAATTTGCAGCTTGCAATCATATGGTTGACTGTGCATGATCTGTGTTGGCGGGAAACCGTGATGCTCAGGTGCTTTCATGTTGCAGTGTTCTGTATGGTCGACCAATGTTTCAGCAATGAGTGCCCCATTCTCCTTGAAAGTACGGAGGGCAGGACCACTAGGCGATAGTTTACGAAGTCCCGAACGACTGATATTTTTAGATGTTGGGGTGATTAGGACATATTTCCCCATAGTAGACACCATTTATTGATTTAGGCACGTTTGGAATAGATGCGATAATAGATCGACCAACATTGTTACCGCCACGTTCAGGGTCTTCGGACGAGCGCTATGGATTCCAGGAGAACTGCAGTTGCGCTTTGAGAACAGCTTCCTCAGCACAGTTGTAGTGGTAGCCGTGATATTGGTGTTGAAACTAATGCGATGAGTGTGGATATGTACCACTGGTGAATGTCTAATGAATAAATAAATGAATAAATGGGTATACTTGCTGACGAGCGGGAAGCGCTCACTTTTTGGAACGATCATTTGTCGGCCCGTAGCCTAGAGGTAACGACCTCGTCTCGTAACCTTGCGGCGACGGTTTGAATCCGCGTAGGCGTGGGCGTCCACCCGGTATACTCAGGCCGCGTGCGACTGATGGTGGTCACACGCCAGCCAACTGCCGTCACGGCGTGCAGCTGACACGTTATTATTTTTATTCCAGCGAGTATCAACCTTTCATTTGTTAACTTGAATTTAGTATGGATCAGTGATGCTGTTTTGTTATACATGTAACAAGTAGCATTATTGGGAGGCGAATTTTCTCATATGTTTTTCAGGTCAGCTTTCATGAGTGTACTCGTAGACTGCTGAAGCTCGATGGGTTTGCCCATATTTTACATGGAAAGGAAAGCATTTAAATGAGATCTAAATGTAGGCGGGTGCTTGCGGGAAGGTCGGAGTATACAGCATCCATAGAGCATTAGCTACTTCTTCAGCGCTCTGTGCAACTCTAACTGTTTTTTGAAAATTTACTCGCCATCGCCTTCTCCAGCTCAATACGTTTCTCCACAGTAGTGAGGGAGAGAATGTTAATTTTACACCGATTCACGGCGGGAGTGCAATACATAGATTTACGAAAATATATGTACAGTTTGGTCCGCACCAATTTGTGATCAGTGCCACACTCAGCTCCACGCAGTACACGTGTCATGCGTACTTCACGCATATCACACTGCCGTACGATGACATAGTCGAGCAGGTGAGCGTGACCACTCCGTGTGTGCGTCCAAGTTGTTATGTCACTCTCACACAGTGCAAATCGAGCGTTTGTGGTCGTCAGCCCGTGAGTGGTGCACAGTGAGAGCAACCTGTCACCGTTTGCATCCGTTGAACCAATGACATGCGGACCAATAACGTCTGTCCACGCTGATGCATCACGCCCAACTCGCGCGTTGAAATCACCCAGCAAAAATAGTCGGTCTCTCCTCAGCACAGACCATATCAAGGAGGATAGCTGAGTGTAGAATTGATCACGCGTGTCTCAGGATACCACATGGTCAGACCGTACGTGCCTTAAAAGTGGAAAACTTACCTCTTCCGAGTAGCAGGCGAACAGTCATCAGTCGCGCGCTGACGCCAGTTGGTTCACCTACCAGCTGGCCATGGAGGCGATCGCATATTGCAAATCCGACCCCATGATCATATGGTGCTGAGGCGCCGTTGCCCGCCCAGTAGAATGTGTAGTCAGCATCTGCTTCATGCAACTTACCTTAATCAGCGAGCCCGGTTTCACTGAGCGCTGCAATATCGATGTTGTACCGCGCCAATTCCGTCGCGACGAGTGCAGTGCGTCGCTCCGGGCGCTCACTCGAGTTCCGGTCCAGTAGTGTGCGCACGTTCCAGCACCCGATGCTGAGTGCTTTGCGCAAAGGCATACCATTGCATTGGCGGGCAATCGCACTCAAGGTGGCGGTTGGGCTTCGGTGGTTTGCTTGAGGGACTCCACCCGGAGCCTTTGGCTCAACAGCCTGACCAACAACGCTGTGGGCGGTGTGAAGTTTTGCTTGAGGGACACCGCCCGGAGCCCTTGACTCAATAGCCTGACCCACAAAGCAGTGGGGAGCAGATCCAGCTCGGGAATGTGATTGCAGAGACAGATTGGGATCTGCTTGTGGTCCGTCACACGCAGCCTTTGAGGTACTGCAACAAATCATGCAACCTACAGATAGTTATCTCACAAACTAGGGTTCTCGCACCGAAACGATATATATATATATAT